ACTTTAGCTATTTTTTAAGCTAAAAATAAAAAATATTTGTTAGTAAAATTAAAAACTTTTATATGTAAGGAAAAATACGCATTTTACTAATTATAATTAGTAAAAAATTTAAGCATTGCATTATTTTTGATTGCCACTATATATATTTTTTAAATATTAATAAATTATTTCTTTTAAAATAATATTAAGTTATAAAAAGATTTTTAGTTAATTAATTTCTTGAATTTTTAATACTATATTTAATAATATTATTTTTAAAAATTTCCTAAATATTTATAATAAAAGAAAATTTTATTTTAAATAAAGTGCAGAACTTATTATATAATAATTTTTATAATTATAAAATTAATAAATCAATTTTATTAATTAAAATATAATAAAAATTAAAATTTTCTCTTTATATTAAAGTTTATAATTTTATCAAAAAGATAATTTTTATTTTTATATTAAAATAAAAGTTATAATTTAAAAAAAATTGTTCTAATTACAAGGTTATTAAAGTTATTGCAAAAATTTTTTAATTAAATATTATTTTATAATAAAAAAATTTTGTAATAATTTTATAATTAAAATAATTCTTTAGAAAAATCTGAAAAAAAGTTACGTATATATATTTTAACTTTCTATATTATAAAATAAATTCAGATAGTTTAGAAATTTCTTGGACACTTGATAGTTAAATGATAATCGTTAATGCGAATAGATCATGTGATAAATTTAATCAATCAGACAACCATTTTTTTTGGCCAACTCAATTTACAAAGTTTAGTGCTAGGATTAATAAAGCTGTAAAACTTTTTTTAATGATACGGAGAGTCATTAGCATTCTTCGATTTTCGCCGGTTTCGTAAATCGTTGCAGGTTTCATCAATCGGCATTATATTTAACATTTTTGATTTTTCGAAAAAAGGAAACAAGAGGAGGTTTATGGGGTATGTATTTGCCTTCTAGATGATCTTAATATGAACTTATTTATTTATTTATTCTTAATAGTTTATCATAGGAAGATTTAGTTTTGATGAACAAACGACTTACAAGAAAAAATTACAAATTCGTGATTGTAATAAATGCTCCATGCGGTTGGTTGACAACATAGTGTGGGAGATAAGTTCTCGCATAGTCTCGCCCTAATCGGCGTGGATGTGCAACTTACTCTGAGCAATGCTCTGTGGGTAGGTTTAATCGGCGTTACCTGGGAAATATGAATTCCAAGCATGGTTTTCTGTTATGCTATGTTTGGGTTTTCAAATCTCTTGGGTTCGTTGGACTCGATGGCTTAGCGAAGCTACTTATTTCGTGCATTGCCTGTTGATTTCTCGGAGTTTTTTACATATATGTTTGCAGTTGTAAAATAGTTTTTATAGTGATTTTAATTTTTTTGGTATCAAAGTCATTGTCGCAACTCCACTAATTTTGCTAATGCATGTTGACTAATTGTAAAAAGATTTAGTAATACTGAATTCACCCATATCTTTTAGCAATGTATACGTGTATGCAAAGAAATCATATTGCACTTGATGTAATCCACTATGCAAAAGGTTATGGTTCTAGCTCTCGAAGGTTATTTGGATCAACTAGATATGGATCCTCATAATACCAAACATATCCTAGAACGATCCAATTTTCTTCACAGAACTCTTTTTTGATCCGATCATGGCTACATCACGGCTGATTGAAAGATAAAAATTACGAGTTATAGTTCATTCGTAGTTGAGTCACGTAGTTAATTAGCACTTGTACTAGCCCCGCTAAAACTCTGAAGAATTTTCTTTGGCATTTCTTTCGAGACGGCCCGCAAATTTTAATCACGTGTATACTTTTCCATGCCTGCATGATAAAAGGTTTTGAATAAATCTGCACCTTATATAAAAGTTATTAACAAACATGTCATCAGAGTTTGAATCTCGAGTCAAAATCGATTATTTGAGAGAAGCTTATAGCCGAGATTGCTGAAATTAGGAAGAAGTTTGCTGAGATCGAAGGTGAGAATGGCAAGCTTGAGATCGAGAAAGCTGAGATTGAGGCTAGGAATGCCAAGCTTCTAAAGCAGGTTATGGAGGAGAATATCAGGCATGATGCTAATATTGCAGAGCTAAAGGCCGAAGTAGCAAAACTAAGATACAACAATGAGAACAACCAGCGATGCCAAGATAATTCTCCCAAAGAGATTGTCAATGTATCTAACTCTATTGTAGACTGGTGTGTTAATGCCAAGCAGAAGTCATCGGAGAATAGGGAGATGGATTCTCCTGGATGAGGTGAATAAGAAAAAGATTAGTGGTGCGACTGAAAATAGGGGACTTGATTATTTGTACTAAATGCTTTGCATTACCGAAACCTATTTGAATCAAGTA